CCCCAAAACCCCAAAACCCCAAAACCCCAAAACCCCAAAACCCCTTTTTCAGAATTATTTATTGATTTTTACAGAACAAAATGGGTGCTGAAAAAGGTCATCCGTGATCATGGGTCTGTGCACTGGCATTGCTGATGGTGCTGGGTGTGGTGAAAGCATACCAGTTTAGAAACACAGGCACGCTTTATGCTACAGTTGACCCCAAGAACGAGTATTATTATGAATATGACCAGATTATTAACAAATGATATCTGAGTAATGGGACTGTTGTTGCCAGTAATAAATTAGACTCTGGATTGAGATTTACAGCTGTAGCTGTAGTACCTAGTGCCGAGTATCTCTTATTTGCAGCAGGCCCTGGAGTCTTAGGAGAAACATTAGCTTCTGGGGTTGGTATATTCAGGACCAATTCTAGTAATTTTTCTGAATATTCATCTTTAAAAATGAACTTTCATGATGGCTCATCAGAGCTTTCTCCAAGGTACGAAAGAATAACTTTCTTTAACACAAAAAGCAACTCGAGTTTGAGAGCAGACTCATATGAATTTATGATGGGTGGTAGAACCAACTATGATAATGATGCTTCCAAAGACACATTCCTGTTGTATTCTGGAGTTTTTCATTGCAAGAATACTACTATCTCTATCCAAAAATTTTACAAATTTGACCAAGGAATTCCAACAGTGTACAATCCTTCAACTATCTCTCTAGATGCTTATAGTGAGAGTGGACTCTTAGCTATTCTAGAAGACCCTAATGATAGCAGTAGTGCAGCAGCTCTTCTTAAGTTTAGAGGAGACACAGGCGGGAACATATACTATGAGGTTGATCTCCTGTCATTTAAGAGAGATTTTTCACAAATTAATTGGATGAAGCGTTACCAAAATAACTTTCAGGCTGAAGCTTTTGTCAATGAAAATTTGTATCTCTTGCTAACGATTGACTCTAAGATATACCTTCAAGTAATGAACATCACCACTGGGAGCGTGGCTACTAAGATTCATTACACCATTGGCAGTAGTGAAGTGATGTATTATCCTCAGATAGGGATCTCAACTAGGTTTAATAAACTTTTTGTAGTTCATAAGGTATCCCAATTAGCCCCTACGCTCACTGAGATTGGAGATATGAGGATTTCTATTTTTAGCATGACTGATTTATCTCTTATGACTGAGAGCTTTACATTTTCTAAAAACGCAACTCCATACCATATGGAGATTTCCCAAATAAATGATAAAGAATTAGTACTAATAAAAGGATCCCTTGATGATCTGACCGGAGAAGATATGAAATTTACACTAGGTGTTTATCCTCAGACCAGAACTCAAGACTTTGGAACCTGAACCACCTCGAGTGAGATGACACTTACAGTAGCAACTGATGATACTAGTTCATTTACTGTTGTAGAAAGTTCTTTATCAGGACTCTTTACAGATATTCAAATTAGCATGAGGCTGAATACAAGCTCTATCACATACACTACTGCTCCATCCTTAGTTTCAACTCCAGACTGCTCCGTTGTAAATATTGTTGAGAAAGAGGTTGTTCAGAATATCACAACCTATCGAAGCCAAAACTACACTCTAGTCACAGTCTCGTCAACGACTCTTTCTTCAGGAGGAGACGTTCAATACACCATGATCACACCTTCAAGTTCTTTGGTAAATTACACAGTGGGTAATGGAAAAGTGACGTTTAATATTTCCCAAGAATATGACTTAGACCAGAAGTTCCAGTTCGAGTACTATGCCAAGCACAACTCGAGTCTGTTCACATTGAACAACTATACTGTGAGTGTCTCCTGCCGGGAAGAGTGAGAGTACTGTGATAATTCAGAGAATTGCACAGTGTGCAACACTCAGAATCTAGGATTCTGAGAACATATTACCAAAAGTGATAGGATCTTGGCAAACATCTTCTCAATAACAATGAAGATCATAGCGACCATTCTCATCTTCAGATCAGCCCTAAGACTAAGAATAGACCATGCATTATGGATGGTAATCGGTATGATCCAATTGCTAAGAGGAATGACCTTAATGAATATTAAAACAGGGTTACTCTTACGGGACTTTCTTAATGAGTACCTTGGCGGATTTATCACTCAAATTGATATAAATATCCTTCCCAAATTGTTGTTTAAGTCAACCACCACTGCTGATAGGAAGTATAGACTTTTTGGTCTTGAATCGTACATGTTCATCCATTACTTCTTCACTACAATGATTGTGCTAATCATAGTAATGTTCATGCTCACGTTTGCACTGGCAATTCTAGAGTGCATGAAAGAGTCAAAAACACGGATTAAATTGATGATAGCAGTCGCCACCTACCTCTCATTTAACCTTTGGATAAGAGGTTTTGCACATTTCAACATGACTTTGATCCTGGCTGCATTTTTGGAAATTAAAAACACCATTGATAATCCTATAAGCGTCCTCTCAATCTGCTCGAAGATTCTTATAGGGGTGTGGCTGATTATTATGATCATGATTTATTTCTACATGGTAAAGATTTTTACTAAGAAAAACAGAACTCAAACAAAGTACCCGCTGAAGATCCTTGAACTGTATGAACCTCTACGACCAAAAGCTTTAGGAGTGATCCTCTACAACATGATCTTTATTGTCAAAAGAATAGCAATAGTGATTAGTGCAGTGGAACTAGATTCACACAGTGGTAGCACCCAGGTCTATTTCGTGCTGTTGATTTTCTTCCTTTCTGGAATTTTCAGTATATTCTGCATCAGATTCAGAAGCTCAGTTACAAGTCTTATTTTCTACATCACTGAAATAGTCCCTTTCATTGGTTTCCTTCTCCTCCTATGGTATGAGAACAAGAGCAGCTTTGATCCAGGGATGGGGTTTGTTCAGCCTGAAAGCATTATTGATAAGATATAATCATATCTTTCATTTTTACAAGTATGTTGGCTATCCTAGCAGCTGTTGCAGGTGAAGGATACCTAAAACTTTACTACTTGAAGAAGGCAAAGAACCTGAAGGCTCTAGAAGCCAAAAATGCCAACCAGCCAATTGAGCTCAACAGGCCTAATAAGTAATCGTCATTGGTTAATCTGTATAGTGAGGTAAACTTCTTCATGGATTCCCAATGGTTAAGTCCTAGCTTAGAATAATTTCATAATCCTCTTCGGTGGTCGATGTAGGTAAAATAGCCGAGATAAGACTAATGGGTGGAAATTAGTCAATGAACATCTAAATCTTGTATAATTACTACACTTTGGTTAGAAATGTAGACCTCTGCTTGATAATATGGGTTGTGATGAACAAATAAGTACGACTTATAGATTTATGCCCCCAATGACTGTCTTATATCACAACTTATCTACCCAGCAATAGCGTTTTCTAGCTGCCTAAAACTTCCTCTATCTCCTCATAATTCTTCTTCAGCTTGGTCCTAAACGAACGATTGACATGAACAAGCCCACTGAGATGGAGGTAAATGAAGACTTTGAAGAAGAGAAAGGGCATCCTTACTCTAAGATCCATGGGAATGAATCCTTAGTCTCAAGGAGTAGTTCAGTCCAGATCATGAACCCGAAGAGGGGATATGAAGGAATTGGTAAAATGGATTTTTGATAGGTTTTAGTGGTCAAGAGAATTGAGACAGGAAAGAAAATGGGCCAAGTAAGTATTGAGGGGTGTTTTTGGGGTTTTAGGTATGGGAACGGAAGGAGATTAGTGAGAAATTGTGTAGATTAGGGTATAGAAGGTGGAGGTGGCTTTTAGATACCGGAAAAATGATTTTTAGAAGTTGAATTGGAGGGATTGTGAGCAGTCTGATTTGTTAGTGGTTAACATTCTTTTGAAAAGTGCTTAGAATGTGTAATGCCTTGATTATTTACAGAATATTATGCTAATAAATGAAGACTATAGAGATGGAAAAGATTCACGATTTTAAAAAAGAAGTTGAGGAAAACAACAAGAAAAGGAGCATTGAGAAAGTCAAGAATAAGAATAGTGTTGAAATGTCAAAACAAAAGAAAAGTAAAAAGAAGACCAAGAGCAAGAAGAAATCAAAGATAATAAAGAGTGAGAAGAGTGCAAAGAAGGCAAAAAGCAAGAAAGATACTGAAAACCTCAAGCAAAGAAGAAGCTCTGAGAAATCTAAGAAAAGAAGAGGTACTGAGAAAACCAAACATGGGTCAGAAATCTCAGAGAGTACATTTACAGCTGCCCAAAAAAGCTTTATTAACTCCTTACCTCAAATTTCCAAATCTGGCAAGCCCTAACTTAAAATCAAATATGAGGTTATGAGTTTCAACTGTCTTAAAGATGAAAGGGGTTTTGGGGTTTTGGGGTTTTGGGGTTTTGGGA